TTTGGTCCGCTGCCCAACTCCCGTCAAGAATTTTAGCCCTTAATGTACCTAGTGATAAAATAATATAGTAAGAGTAAACAGATTAATCACTTTTACGAACGCCTCTCTATGCTATATAATGTGTTAGCCACGAGCTTCCGGTTTTGCTCATTTGCGCGACGTATGTAACATTAAAATCAGTTCAGATATTAGTGAAATTAGTAGAAATAACTTCTTTCCCGTCACATCCTGCCCAGGAAAAAGCAATTAAAGTGCTGTTTTGTTTATTGTCGTTCTACTTTTTATATCTCCATATAGGATTTGTAAAGGTATATACCTAATTGCACAGCAATGTAACTACGCGCTTATAATGTTTCTGATAGAACGTCTGCAGCATCGACGAATGACACGAGTGCTTATAGATATGCTTGCAATGAGAACTACGTAAGTTAGCCACGCAAAGAATGCCGCAATTACGAGCAGACAAGCAATAACATCTATGAGCCAATATTGTAGGAAGTTCAGTTCAGTGTAGGCAGGAGCTTGCTGGTCGGCATAGAGCATCGTGTAATTCACCCAGAATGACACGGTCTCATCAGGAGACATCGGCAGGCTGTGATGATACAGTTTCGAAAGCTGACGCACGCGTGCTGCATATCTGCGGAATTATTGAGGCTAGATGTAAACAACGATATAATTGCAAAGATACGTAAGATATGTACGACATCAAACTATTATTAAACTATTTATGATTCAATAAAAGAATTAGGACAACGGTTAACTTAATTCGTATTTGCGAGTATACTATTAGCTTTTATCGGTCTTGTAGTATATAAGTAGTGTCGTTGGCCGATCTCTGTGCAATTCTTAGCAAGATAAAATACACGCTCGACAAACATATCTGTCTGAGTTACCGTAATTATCGTACGCAACAGACTTACGCGTCATTCTCGACAACACGCCTAAGGGCGGATTGTAGGCTTTCTGTTGTTATAGTATGGAAATCAATCATCTCGCCGATTCCTCTCTCTTGAGCCATGTGCGCGTTTCGAAACTGGTCGGCAAAGATCGGCATGACAACGACAGGGGTGGCGTGGCAAATCGCCTGCCATAATCCATTAATTCCACCGTGTGTGATAAAAGAAGCTACCTTGCTATGACCTGTAAAAAATGCGTGATTTTTTCAATTGTTTTGTATACTATGAAGAGCACGTAAAATCTTGGCTCGTGTGCTATTGATAATACTAGTGACATGCCTGCGTCTAAATTTTGTTTCGTTTATGTTATTTCGTTAGTTCACTCCATTACCTAGTAGATCATTCTGCGGTGCCCATTCCAATGTGACAACGTTGGTTGGAAGTCCGGTCATGTTGAAGTTAGCGATAATGAATAGGTACGGTAGATTAGAGACAGCATCTAGAAGCGCAGTCTTAAAACGCTGGTTCTGAAAAACGGGGGGAAATAGAACAACGCTATGCATATTACAACTTTTAAAATCTATTTTCGTTCAAGATTGAATTGCCGAAATAATGGCACAGTTAATGTCATCACCTCGCGTAGATAAAGCTCCCATTCATAGAGCATATTGGACAAAGTCAAAAGTTAAAATTCCTGCGCGGTAATTACGCTATTTGCCTCAATGTGGCTGGCTGGCGATGGTGTGATAACTAAAGACACCCATTACGCATGCGCGGTTTTACCTCGTCCAAACCGCCCGGTCCGTGCAGGAGAGTACCGAATGACATGTATATCACTTTTCTATTAGTCCTCGCTAGCAAATCATTCAGTTTCTGCGAGAAAGGCAAATAAATAATGATCTTTACATCAAACTCAGTAGAATGATCCACATCATGCAGGCTTCAGGATTTTTGATTCTGAAGTCGACATTTCAACAGCAACATACCAATTAATCAAATATACCTCGTTGACGACACGCGCTGGGCGCTTGTGTAGGCTAGGGGCAGGAGATCTTACGCCGTAAGTCAGTGGGCTAATTTGATGCAATAACTTAGATATTTAATTGNTATTTGGGCAACAAAATCGAGTTTTGTGGAACCGGATTGACAGAATTGAGTTTTGTGGAACAGGATTGACAGAATTGAGTTTTGTGTTTACAAAATTGAGTTTTGTGGAACCGGTTCGACAGAATTGAGTTTTGTGGAACAGGATTGACAGAATTGAGTTTTGTGTTTACAAAATTTAGTTTTGTGGGACAGGATTGACAAAATTGAGTTTTGTGTTCACAAAATTGAGTTTTGTGTTCACAAAATTGACTTTTGTGAGACAGAATTTAGTTTTGTGCACAAAAGTGAGTTTTGTAAGACAGAATTGAGCCCTGTCCTGCATGGCGCCCCGTAACTACGCGCTTATAATGTTTCTGATAGCACGTCTCCGGCATCGACGAATGTCACGAGTGCTTATAGATATGCTTGCTATGAGAACTACGTAAGTTAGCCACGCAAAGAATGCAGCAATTACGAGCAGACAAGCAATAACATCTATGAGCCAATATTGTAGGAAGTTCAGTTCAGTGTAGGCAGGAGCTTGCTGGTCGGCATAGATCATCGTGTAATTCACCCAGAATGACACGGTCTCATCAGGAGACATCGGCAGGCTGTGATGATACAGTTTCGAAAGCTGACGCACGCGTGCTGCATATCTGCGGAATTATTGAGGCTAGATGTAAACAACGATATAATTGCAAAGATACGTAAGATATGATACGACATCAAACTATTATTAAACTATTTATGATTGAATAAAAGAATTAGGACAACGGTTAACTTAATTCGTATTTGCGAGTATA